GTATCCAAAAGTCCATTATCTAAATATTGTCTCTAGATACATTATCACCTAGTAGAGATGTCGTAGTCCTTACGACCCCCATTTGGGGGGGGGGGGGGTCGAAAATTTTTAAGAGTTACAAGCACTCAAAGTTTCCACTATTTGCTGATTTTTATGAAAATTACCTTCAAGTTTGAATTTATATCGCCAAAACTATTAAAGTTACAAATTTTGTTTGAAAAAATAAAGTGTTAGTTCAGGCAGGAAAAATAATACCTGTCGACATACATGCATATTTAATCATTTTGTCCGTTGTACATAATCCAACAGAAAAATATTTTATTTTTTTCAAAAAATGAAAATATTTTTATTTTGCAAATGTCATCCGTGGTCACGTTTTTAAAAATTTTGTTAAGACATATTCGTCTTCTGTGAACTCTTTTGTATTCCAATTTTTTAATTTAGGGACACTGAAACTGTAATTAGCTTCAGTTCTGTATCTACTTTATGATAAACACCAAACGTGCGTATTGTAATTTGGTGATACAATACCAGTATGAGACCCTGGTTTGCACATTTCGTTGTTCGTACCCTACAAATACATATGACCCGTTCGTTAGCAACAACTGGCTTCTCACCCGGGTGGTCTCCTGTTAAGTTAAAATATTTTGTATTGTACATATACATATATACATATGTACTTTTCTATGTGACTTTGACTTTATGTATTGTTAAAAATATAACAGTTACATAAGTCAATGGGTTCATTGATATACGTATGAAATGCAATGCATCATATGAAATTGAAATTACATACTGTAGGTCGAAAGAAATGTCTTATTTTTGGAGTTAAAATGACTTCGAGTGCAACGTGCAAAGCTTAACATAAACAAAAGAATTTTTTCGAAATTCTGTACCTTAGTCATTTATTTTGAGTTTTTTATGAGTATAAATCCTGCAAATATTTGTGTAATTTTTTGTATGAATTACGTCTCAAGGGAGAGTTTCAAAATTAAATGAATTCAAGTATGAAATTTTGAAATATCGGTCTTATTTAACTGATTTATCACCAATAGATTCTTATTTTTTAAGCATCTATAGATAGAACTCTCTTTACGGAATAAACACTTCACAATGAAGATGGTATTAAAATCTCCATAGCCGAATTTACTCATTCGAAAGACCAGAACTTTACAAATGGCATCTATACGTTAAAACTTCGGAAAAAAGTATCAAAGCAAATGAATCATATTTTGATAAAATAAACATCTTTTAAAAAGAAATGTGAAGTTTTTACTATTCATTTAAAAATCAGACATGTGATATTTATCAACCAATATAAACATTTGTTAGATAAAATCAACATCCATTAATTTTTAAATATTCTTCATTTTCTTGCATTAACATCCAGGAAGATGCAATAATTAGCCAGGTCTGATCCTGCTCAACTTCTCAAAACATATTGTGACAGTGATTTGAAAGTGAACTACTTGTCGTGGATGTGTTTGGCGATAATGTTGTAAAAGTGAACTCTATGTTTACCATGCCGATCCTACCTGAGGCCCCTCCGACCGCATCCTTTCCTCGGTAAGGCCATTGACCTGGTATTTACTGAACATTGTGCAAGGTCAGTGCATCGACGTCGTGAATTGTGACCCACATTTCCAAGCAGCAAATGCATCCTTATCTAAATGAGTAAGTTTACTATTAATAATTCTTCACAATTCTTAAATAAACATATCCCTTATGTTCTTTGATGCAATTTATTATTAAATTTGCTTTGTGAATCGTTCGTTGAATTCTGTTTCGTTATTAAACATTTAATTATTTGGATTAATTGGATTATTTAAATAAAAATATCTTTTGCGTGAGTTTGACGGGATTTCTTATTATTGATCTTCACTATAATCTGCTCAATTAATAATTAAAACGGCTGTCACGGTTAAACTACTTACTATTTCGACTCCGAAAAATTAGTAAATATTCTTCAGACGTTCTAAAATAAAAGTGAACAGCTTTTTTCTTAAAAATATCACTGTTACGTAGTAAAAAGCATTCGGAAAGTTCATTTGTTCATTACTTCGAACGCGGCCGGAATCCGTTACGCCTTTCTGCCAAAGCCACGTGCAACTGGCTCTCGAAGTTCCCGCGCTTGCCTTGCATTGGTCACTATTTTTCGTTAATAACTCGTAAACGAAGCCACGTATTGCATTTTCGCTAAGGAAAAGGTTGCTATAAATAACCTCAGGAACCCCTCATTTCTCGTAAATACGATAATTTTGGGACACTCTGTATACATTCGAAGTATCGTTCGAAAATATGCTGAACAATGTGGTCGAGAATCTTACGAGGCTACAAGTGCAAGTCGAATATCGCTCCGTATGTGCGCCAGGCGTACGGATGTGCGGAAAGAGTAAGACCGCAAGCACAGTAAAGTGAGTTACATTGGCTCTGATGTGTGACGTTTCGCATGTGGTTGTGCTGATGTACTTTTTTTTTGTTCACTTGCCATTTCATCTCTTTATTTTTGGTTAAGAGGGCAGCACTGATCAGCTGTGAATTGCTATTTAATCAAAACAAAGCAGTTACTGTCCTTCCCTATGATCAAGTACCTGGTTGCCCCGAGTCGGGGTTCTTAAATGTAGCGATTACACTTCTTCTTCTGATTCTGAAGCTTCATTTTTGGGTGACAAAATAATAAATTGGATGTCTATTCTACTCCTATACTTCGTTTATGGTAAGACCACGTGGTTACTATCATACGACGATAATGTACAATGTACCTTTCGTTGTTGATCGTCATCGTCTTGCATCCGCTGAATATTTGAAAAAAAGTACAGTACAATTATCAGAAATAAAAGAACAAACACGCAGTAAATAGCAGAATCTCAATGCTGTTATGTAATATGCCACCAAACCATGAAACGTTATCTTTCCTTATTATTTATTTTAGATTTCACATTTTGTGCACAACTGATCTTGCTCTATTATAGTTTAGGCGTAACAAGGATTCCAGATTCTGAAGTCATGTCTCAAAAATCAAGTTCCATAGACATTTTCGATTTGCAAGACATATATACACCCACTGGCGTACCTCTAAGAGGGATTTACAAGCGGTAAATAATTTGTAATAATATATAACCTTTTATTATTTATTTAATTACTAGTAATTAATTACCAGCAATTATTAATATTTATTACAGAAGTTTTGCTTACATAACAATCAAAGACAGATTACCAGTAATTTTAACTAAAATAATTGATACCTTGAGTCGTAACAAAGAAGATATTGCAAAACTATATGGGGAGGTATTGTATATAAGTTTGAGCTGCTTGACACTTCAAATATTTTTTTATATAATCTAGTATTTAAAATTATATATTTATTTAGCATGTATCCGAAGAAATTAAACAGGTCATAGGATTTATTAGTAAATTAAAGAATGAAATGGTTACTAATAAGACTTTGAAGCCTTTGCCAACAGTACCTGATGCACAAGATAATGATGCTGATGAATGGAATAAATATCTGGTAAAACGGACTGAGATAGAAGGAACTACACCTACATGGTTTAATACACTTTGGTTGTATTGTGAATGTTACATGTACCGGACCCTTGCACAAGAATTTGCTCTTAAGTATGGTTTAAAAATTCGTACTAAATAATTTTATATATATATATACATACATATATATCATAATTATGTATTTATTTTCAGAAAATATTTGCATACTTATGACGTTTTTCAACAACAGAAGCAAAGTGCTTTTACTGGTTCATTAGTTAGTATAGAAGCTTTGGGTGTTTATACAGTGAACTACACAAAAACAGCAAACCTTTTATCATTGGATGATACAATCCACGAATTGTTCAAGTTTCTTCACCTAAACCTTTGGGGCAATAAGTATGTTTAATTTTCAGCATTTGTTTGCAAAATTTGATCAAAGCTGGCAATGCATTTCTTTTTGTAGATGTGATTTATCACTTAGTGCTGCAGCAGAAGTTAGTCAAAGCGAAAACTCCATAGAAATTCTGGAATCATTGCAATCAGATATTCTAGTTGACAATTCCAAATTTGTTTGGAATTTATTAAGAAAAATAAAAACTAATGGCACATGTATTATAGATATGGTACTGGATAATGCAGGGTATGAATTTTTTACTGATTTATGTTTAGCAACATTTTTGATGGCTAGTAAACTTGCCACAAAAATAAGATTTTATGTAAAAAAATATCCATGGTATGTAAGTGATATAACAAAAAATGATTTTCACTGGACTCTGGAATACATGAATAATTCATTGAATAAAAATTTAGAAGAATTAGCTGAACTAGCAAACAATTATTTGAAAACTAACACATGGATTATCGAGGTATAGCAATTTTTTTTTACGTAATTCAGTGAAATATAATATGAAATTTAATGTTCTATGTGTATTGTTATTAGGAAGAATCCTATTGGACAGGACCATATGATTTTGCCGAGATGAGAGAACATGATAAAGAATTATATGCAAAACTATCAGAAGCCCAATTAATAATATTTAAAGGGGACTTAAATTATAGAAAATTACTTGGCGATATAAATTTTGCATATACCACGACATTTACTGAAGCATTAAGAGGGTTTCAACCATCACATATACTTAGCTTAAGGACAATAAAATCAGATGTCTGTGTTGGTTTGCAATCAGGTATAGCAGATAAACTTTTTGAAAAAAATGAAAGTTGGATGTTTACGGGTCAATATGGGTTAATTCAAACAACCTTTGCTGGAACTTGCGAATGTTCTACTATATGTTAGAAATGAAAGAATGGAGATACATAGTTTTGTATACTATCTGATTTCGTGCCTGTATGTTAGTTACTATGTGTTCAGTGTGTATAATTAACTGTACATACGCATACAGCATGGCAACTAAAACTGTACAAGTTGTTTTTATACTTCAATTATTAAAGTAGTTTCGACTGTTAATATTCAATGGGTACCTGGAGTATTAAATATTTCCAATTATTTACTACTACAATTACAAAAAGTCACTATGTATTAACTATTGTCATATTTTCTAATTTAAATACTTGTTGCAAATACAAATTTTCGATACTTGATTATCTAGGACACCATGATTACATAATGTGTAAACTT